TCCCTGCCCAGGGTTTGTTATTGTGAATTTCCTCAGCTAATTTTCTGAAATCTGTATCTTTTGTAATGTTTGGCCACCAGAGTCTCTGCTCAGTTAATTTTGTGGTCAGCAAATGGTTCAGCGGAGATTTCCTTAAATACTGTGAACCAATGTGTAGAACCAAAGTCTACCAGGCTTTGGCACAGGGCTCTTTGTGCAGGTTGCATCATGACTTCAGCACCCTGCAGGGGATTGACAACTCGGTCTGAGCCGCTGCTTCCTGTGTGTGCAGATATTCAAGGTCAGCCAAAGGTGGACGTTTAGAGCCTTCTCAGGTCTTCCCTAGGTATGCTCATACAAAAAGATAAGTTGTCAATCTGAGGAGCAAAGGCCAAGAACTTTGCAAAGATAGCCTCAAACTAGATGATCAGCTTCAGATCTAAAATAGCCTATTATATTTTGCACTAATGAGTGTATAGTCATTGGGCAAATTAGAGATGGCTAAAAATGAGTCAGTGATTAATGATCACAAAAAGTTGGAAAGTGAAACTAATTTCAATATGATTTAGCAGTGAGAGTGAAACCAGTTAAGAGGCTGTTGCCTGAGTATGGGTGAATGATAAGAAAGGACTGAATTAGGGCTGATTTAGGACCAAAGGAAAGGCAAGTTGTCAAAGGAATGATTGACAGGATCAATGAATGTAGATCCTGAAGAAGGAGAATCTCAAAATAACTCTGTTTTCTAGAGTGGGTGGCCTGCCAGGGATGCTCTTAGCCAAGACAAGACAACACATAGGAAAAACATGTTTAAAGAGAACGCAGTGAGTTCAGTTTTGAGATAGGAGTTTAAAGGCCAGTTGGCCCCCACAGCTTGGTGAAACCAGTGAATAATTAGAAATGTAACTCTAGGGCTCAGATGAAATGTCTAGGCTGGAGAAACTGGAATCGATATCATTAGACTCCAGTTTATTTTGAGATGAGATCAAACACTTCAGTATGCCCACGCAGAGTCAAAGAGCAAAGATTTCACCCTCAATTTCAAAAAAAGAAAAACAAATGAGGAAAGAAAGAAAAAAAGAAGGGAGGGAGGAAGGAAGGAAGAAAATGAATAGTTAAGGAGAAAGTATGCTTGGTGACAAGAAGGAGATAGTGTTCAGAAAGATGAGAAAATTCATACTCTTGAATTCCAGAGATGAAAAGACTTTTCAAGGAATGGTGGTTGGTAAGACCTATTGCTACCAAAAGTTCTTAGCTTTAAAACATCTGTGAAATTTGTTGCTTTGAAAGTCATTGGTCATAACTGGAAACAGCCTATCTGTCCATCAGCAAGACTATAGGCATGCCAATTGTGTGCCTCCACACCGTGGAGTGCCACTCTGCAGCTGAGGAGAATGATTACGCCATGACATAGTCAAGCTCTAAAAGCAGGGTGTTTGTGGAATGAAAAAACAAGGGACTCAGAAAATGACTAAGAATAGGCAAAACTAATGTATGGATGAGGACCCTGATGCCCCTGGAGGTAGTGGGGGGGAGGGCGGAGGGAGATCTAGCTGTACTAGAGCTCAAGCAGACTTGCTCTGTGTAGAAATGTTCTTTATCTGTCTGAGAGTACTTACGGTTGCCAAACCCATTGAACTGAAAACGTTAAGATATGTGCATACAAAAAAAAAAAAGGCCAGCAGTTAAAGACAAGAGATTGAACACCTAAATTTGCTTGCTTCTAAATGCCTACTAGTTTTAAGAGAGACATTCCTTTACAAAAGCTAATGTCCACACAAGGAGAGAAATCACAACTACAAAATGTTCCAAGCAGAACGACAGAAATATGTAGTAGAGGATTTAGCAAGTAAGCCCAAGAAACAAAATCTAGCTGGTCAGTGGATAAAAGTGTAAAGTAACTCAATTGTCACTACATCAATTCTAACATGCTCAAAAATTGAAGGTGAGAGTGGAAGAGAGTTGTTTGAAATTCTGTTTTAAAGCAGGTTAAGCCCTAGATCTCCCCTGGTCTGTATCTAGGCAACATCTTTCCCCCACCAAAATTAGAAAACTAGATGTGGTTTTTCTGGAGAGCCTGGAACAGAAACCCCTAAACCAGAGACCATCAGACATACTTGAAGGTGGGGAGCTCTGTTGAAAACAGGAACCTACATGACTGTCTCCCCACACCCTAAATGTCCACATTCCCAGATTGCTGATATTACTTGGCTCCAGAACACTAGAAGAATCTGAGTTTGGAGAAATACCATCATCCCACAATAGAAAACAAAACAAAGGCAGTAAATTCAGACTTGAACAGGTCAGAAGCCTCTAAGAGACTCACAGCCCAGGAAATGAAATCAACAGAAAGGGGTCAGAGAGTTAAAGAATTGGGGAAGTGTCTGGGCTTAAATTTAGGAATAAGAACACAGAAAACTAATGAAACAAATAAGTAAGATGCTTATTAACTCCAAGAATAAACCAAAAGTGAGAATAAAAGGAAAAGTAATCAGTGTATTATATACATATGAATAGTATCTCCATGTCATAATAAACATTGAATATTAATTTATCAAAAAATTATGCAATTATGATGTTGTAATATTTGCAATAGGCAAAAGGGGGGCAGTGAGAGGTAGGAATAGGTAATAAAAGAAATCCTCATTTCCCAAAGAACAGCATCAATAGATGATGAGTTGAACCAAAAGATTATGAAGATTATCATAAACATGTTATTAGAAATAAACACCAAAAGAAACAGTGGCCTCCAAGGAATGGTAAATGGAAGAAGACATAGCAGGCAATGTTTGACTCTTTAAGCCATGTGCATTCGTTATTGTGAATTTTTTTTTTTTTTTGAGACAGAGTCTTACTAGTCACCCTGGTGACCTAGTCACAGCTCACAGCATCAAGCCTCAAATTCTTAGACTTAAGTGATTTTCTTGCCTCAGCCTCCCAAGTAGCTGAGCCTACAGGCTCCCATTACAAGACCCCACTATTTTTTAGTTATAATTGTCATTGTTGTTTGGCTGGATTCAAACCGTCAGCTCCGGTGTATGTGGCTGGTGCCCTAGCGGCTAAGCTACAGGAGTCGAGCCATAATTGTGAAATGTTTTACAGTAATCAAGAAAAACAAAACAGTAAAGGTATTTGCACAGAGAATTTCATGAAAATTAGATTGCAGAGAAATGAAGAGTGAATGAAATTGACGATGTTCTCAACAAGTTAAGCAGTAAAAGAAATGGGAATGTGGGAGCTATTAGTGTAGTTA